GGGATTCACATATAAATCAAGTATAAAAATCAAACGAATAATCATATCTGACTTGATTGTTTATAGTTCATGATGCGTGATCAAAACCGAAAGTTTCTGTGATGAATGCCCTTGTACTGTTCACCATGTAAGAACTGATTCACTAGGTAAGAACTTGTTTGTTATGCTTCAGAAGATTGAAGACTGTTGAGAATTAGGCTTGGGGTTGATTAATGATTGTGCATTGAGTCCCCTATACAGAATTTTATTGTTGTTAACAACCATTTGATCAATAAATATGAGAGATGCCCTCTCAAAAAACAACAAAAAAATAAGATCTCTTAATTATTTTGTAAATGGCAATCTGCAGCAAGAGAAGATTGTAGTAGACATGTACAGCGCAGCAGAGGTGAGAATCCATGTTGCAACAGAGAAGGAAAGGGGTCAGGCCAGTTACCTGGTTGCTGGCGTGGTTCCAGTTCCTCATTCATTCCAGGCCCTCAGGAAGCCCGGATGCATCCCTCTGCTCCTAGACTCTACAGTATAACAAAACCCTGGGTCCTTGACATAAGCTTCTCCCTTACTTATGCTGTTCTACTGGGGTTTTGTTACTTGTGGAACACTTCTGAAGTCACATTATCCGAATGGTGTGAGGACAGAAGAGGTCCAGTCTAGCAATCAAACGGTCATTTCAACAAATTTCAGGCTGTGTGTGTTTCTTGAATACCTTTAAAGAAATACTTTTATTACAGCATGTTATAAAACCCCCTGCTTTTCTTCTCTGATCCACTTTGCCACACACAATAGCTGCTCTTAAATTCTATCTTCAAGAACTCCTCAAATGATTTCCCCCAATTTTAGTCCACACCTGTCTTCCTCCTAGCCTCCCTCCATCCTGATTCTGCATCATAAAAGCCAAGAAGTGTTCTGGGGAGGCAGAAGCGCCCTCATATGGTGGGGGGAGGGAATGGAGGAAGCTGAGTGCAAAGCCAGAATGGTCTTCTGAGGGCCAGAGGGTGGGGTCAGCTACCTCCTGGACAGCCCTCTTCTTTTTCACACCACACACTTCACCTGGGTGATCTCATCCACTCTAGTGGCTTCAATTACCATCTCCACGATAATGACTGCCAAATTCCTACCCACAATCCAAAATTCTGCTCCAAGCTCCAGATCCATATACCAACTGCCTAGTCAATATTTCTCCTTGGGGTCAAATCAGATAGGATTACATTCTGCTATGAGTAACAGAGACTGGAAACACAGTGCCCTAAACAAAAGCGTTTCTTGCTTTTGCATCAGAAAGTCTGGAAGTACACAGCCCTGGGCTGGCATGGGGATACTGCTCAAGTGCCAATCTCCTTGCAGGTCATGGTTCTGCTATCAGTAGGGTGTGTCCCTCAACCTTATGGCCCAAGATGGTTGTTACAACTCCAGTCATCCCATCAACATTCCAGGCAGCAGGATGGAGAAAAGCAGGAGGAGAAACAATGGATTTAACCAGTTTTTAAAGGCTGGGGGTTACCACATAAAAACACTCCTGCTTACATTTCATTAGCCAGAACTTAGTCACATGACTATGCCAAGCAGCAAGAAAGGGTAGCAAATCTATTCTTTATGCTGGGTGGCCATGCACCCGGCTAAAAAGAGAAGATTCTATTATTAAGAAAAAAACTAGATATTGGAGGAGGGGTCAGCGAGCATTGTCTACACAACAGCCCCACAATCTCCTCCAACTTGGCAAGGCTGAGACGAAAGTAGTATCCTCCTCACCATGGCCTTTTCCCCTAGAGTCTTGGTCCTTGTCTTTATCCCCTCACCCTAGCAGAGGGCAATTCTATGGGGTAGGAGCTGGCCAGGGGAGGTGTTGTCCAAGCTAAGTGACGAGGAGGACAGGGAGAGAATTATACAATGAAGCTGGACTCTGGATGGTCTGGAGTAGAGACCAAAGATCCCAACCAAAAGATGCCCAAGTGGAATAAGTGGGGTTGGGGGTTCCCAAGCAAAGGGCCAGGGTGCCTGCTGAGCTAGGAATACCTACACAAGGGTAGGTCTGTGCTCAAAAGCTCCAGGGGCAAACACCCAGCCTTTCATCTAGCCAGCTGCCAAGGCCGCCTTTCTATTCTGCCTCCCGTTCACTCTACCCTCCATGCTCTTATCTGCACTGCTTCCTCCTCCTGGAATGTCCTTCCCACTTCTCCACATGGGTAACTCTCCATCCTGTAGAGCTCAGCTCAGGGTCACCTCATCCATGGAGGCTGCCTGGTATCCCTGGTGGGAGCTCTAATTATATCACTCTGGAGAAAGGGCTGCACCAGAACCCGCCCACCTTCTGGAACTGTGCTGACGCAAGGGTCAGTGCAGAGTTCCAGAAGGTGAGCAGATCCTGGTGCTTTGGGTGTGATCTGGGCAGGGTACTGGCAAGGCACAGCAGGAACGTGCGACCCCAAGGCTTTCTTTTTATGAAGGAGGAGGTACCGGCTCTCCAGGCAATAGTGGAGGCAGAGAACCAACAAGGCTAAGCCTTGAACTCTGGGCCACAGGCTGGGCCTCCCATACACCCATCTCCAGTGAGGAAAATGATGTGGCTGTGGGTTACAGAAAGGAAGTCTGGCTGGGTGGGGGCAGGTGGAGTAATTCCTGGAAGGAAGCTTACAAGTCAGAAATCTGGTAGAGGCGCATTCTAGGGGCCTCTGTCCCTGGAGCCACCCACCTTCCATCCCCAGGAAGGGGAAGGCAGGGCAGGACAACCATCCAGGGGGCTGCGTCTGGGTGCCTAGGCACCATACTCCCTTCACCAACCTCCTGCAACATTTGGCCATGCAAGGGCACAGGCTGAGGCCGTGGCTAGGTAGGAATGGGGCAGTGACCTGCTCTCCCTGAGTCCTGGCCTTCTTGTCTCTACAAAGAGGATGCAGAATCCTTCCCCCTTGAGGGTTTTGTGGCAGGCTAGGTGGCAGGGGGGTCAGTCAACAAGGTCTACCAGTAAGAAAAGCCTCTGTCTTTGTCTCCCTATCTTGGGGCAGGCTGTGGGGGCACCTGTCTTCACCTTGGTGTGTGTGTGTGTGTGTGTGTGTGTGTGTGTGTGTGTGTGTGTGTGATCTGTCTTTGTCTCCCTATCTTGGGGCAGGCTGTGTGTGTGTGTGTGTGTGTGTGTGTGTGTGTGTGTGTGTGTGTGTGTGTGTGTATATGTGTGTGTGTGTGTCCCAAACTCTGGGGGAGAGCAGGCAGCCAGGCGTGGGCAGGAGGGAGAGGAGCCTGAAAAGTTCTCTCCACAGCCCCTCAGCACCAAAGAGCCTTAGGTGGCGAGACAACATGTCCCAGAGGCAAAGGGCACCCTCTGCCCTAAACCTGCCTGCTGGTTGGCCATGTCCGGCCAGGCAGCGGGCGCTGGGAAAAGGGAGTCAAGGGGCCTCCCTGAGAGCCCCACCTAGTGATGGCCAGGGCTGGGTTCCCTGAACAGACATAGCACCTACACAGGGTTGAGGGGCCTGTTTCTCCTTGAGGGCCCATGGGAGAGAAGGATGTTGCTAAGCAGCTCAGGGCTGGGGGCTGGCACCAGTGGAACAAAGATTTAGAAGCAGAGAAGGCTGGCTGTTCTCAAAGGGCACTGGATGGGGTTGGAGGGCAGGGCTGGGAAGGGGAGCTTGGGAGGTCGGCGAGGCAGTCCCTGCCCTGGACCACTTGGGTCTTCTCCTGTAAGTGATGGGGAGCCATGGAGAATGTAAGAGTGGTGAAGTGATGGGGCTGGACTTGAACTTTTGAAAGTCTTCTCCAGCTGCACAATAGAGATGGGTTGGAAGGGCAGGGCTGGGAGCGAGGACAGCCATGGGAGAAGTCCTGAGCCAGGACCAGAGGAGGGAAGCTTGGCCTGGAGAGAGGCTGCTCCCAGGAGGACATATTCAGAGGCTGATCCCTCCTGATTCCTGCCAGCTTCCCCCACCCTCCGGAACCCAGGGAGAAGCAGGAAGACAGTGAGGTCAGTGGGTGCGCCCACACTGACACCAGAGACATGGGACTGCAGGAACACAGAGAGGCCAGTAAAGGGCAGGGGCTCTGCAGGACCCTTGTCTACACCCACCTCGGCCCAAACCTGCTGATAGTAAGTGAATCAGACTTTCTCTAACATGGACTGAGGATTCACTGGGATTACTCGCTTACTCTCTGTCCTCTTCTGTCATACAGGGAGCTGCCCAAAAGGTGGGGCCTGTGACTCCCGAGTCAAACTGAGGGGGCCTGACATTGCACGGGGGGACAGAAGACTGCCAAGCAGGAGGGTGTTGGGACCCCCCCACCCCGAAAATGATTCTTCACTCCTGTTCAGAGCCTGTTGCCATGGCCTCAGAGATAGGCCAATCTGTGGAGCTGAGGGTGGGGATGGAGAAGACAGGGAATGGGAAGGCAAAAGAAAAACAAGAGGCAGGCTCTGTTTGAGAGGCCAGACCCTTGGCTCCTTCCCCACATACATGTATAGCCACTTCAACCCTCCCAGGCTTTGTTCAGCCTCTGGGATAAGGTTGAAGGCCGGCTAGCCTCCATCACACACCTGTCACACACTCACAGACAGACATAAGATACAGTGTCACACATATACAGGACACACAAACATGCATAAACATATACACACAGTCACAGACACACGAAGACACACACACCAACAGATACATGCACTCATACACACACTTGGAGCAGCCAGTGGAGGTTACTGATTGGATTCCTCACTGGCTTACTGGCCAGGTACCAATACCCACAACTGTTCAGTACAGTACAGCCCCTACCCCCAACAGGGGGGCTTCAGGGGCAGTGCCCCCAACAATAAGGGCAGCAAACAGAGGAGAGGGAACCCTTTAGCTGCAGAGCCTTTTAGACAGGAGGAGAGGAGGAAGGAAGTATTCCAGGGGTAAACAGCCTCTGCAAAGGTTTGGGATGGGGGGCAACTCTGATGGTCAAAAACTGAGGTCTTTGGGGAGGGGAACAGACAGGAGGCCAGACCCCTTAAGCACAGAGGGACTTTGCTAAGAAGCAGTCCTTGGTCCTCATGCCACAGTGCCCAGCCTTAGCCTCTGCGGGGGGCACACTGGGAAGGAGGGAAGGGGCCATGCCCAGTTCCTGTCAGAACCAGGAGGTGGCAGGGGGACTCAGCAAGTTGGCTGTCTTCGAGGGTCCTAGCAGTAAGGGGTCTCCACCCTGCAAACCTTCTGCTCGGAGGCCACGTCCCAGCATCCCGGAGAGGGCCAGCTCTCTCAAGGGTTAGGACAAGAATGCTGTGAGCCCCCAAAAGGGAAGGGGCTAGGTGCTCCTTTCTAAGGCAGGATGAGTTCTGAGTGATCCACCTGGCAGGGTGGGGCCCCAGCCTGTAAGAACCCTTCCCTTGCTGCCTCAGATTTCACCAAGGACAGAGCTAGGCCCCAGCCTGGGGAACAAGGGCCTGCCCTCACCCTCAGTCAGCCTCTCCTACCTGACCCTTGAAGGTAAGGCTAGGGATGGCGGGAGGGTGGGGTGGTCTGGGGCAGGGGACTGGAGGAGTGTAAGGTAAGGCCCTCGTAGCCACTAGGCTCTCGCTGATGGGCAGGCCTGGGCTGAGCCCCGAGGTGGTCCTGTTGGGGGCGGGGGCGGGGGAGGAGGCCCCTCCGCAGCTGGGCCGCAGGAGGCCGACGAGGGGTCTGGAATTCCTCTTCCCCTCCCCGCATGTTCCCCCCTCACCCTTCTCCCCCAGCCCCACCTCCCGGGCTGCTCGCGGGCGGGCCGGGGAAACGCAGCGGCGGGGCGCAGGCCGCGAGGCGCAGGAGCAGCGCGGGGAGGGGCCCTGGACGCGGGGTAAGGCTGGGCCCCTCGGCGGAGGCCCGCGCAGGCAGGCCCCGCCCCGACCTCGCACATCTGGGCCGGGAGCACGGACAGACCCGGCGGCTCAGCCCGCGCGGCCATCCGGCCTGGAGGAGGGGGAGGGGGCGGCGGGCGGGGCGAGCCCGAGGCGCGGGGCTGGGCGCACGTCGAGGGCTGCGGCCATCGCGGCAGGGCACGGCCACCGGCTGCGCGGGCTCAGGATCCAGGCGGCTGGACAGAGCACGCGCTGTCGGGCGGGCGGAGGTGAGTTCTGGGGCGCGGGGCTGCTGGGCTCCCAGAGGAGAGAAAGGCGACGAGGTTGCTGTCCTGTCCTGCGCTGTTGGTTGAGACCGCACCACACATTTTCTGACCCCGGAGAAACGGCTGGGGACAGACCTGCAAGTCCGTCTCTCCAGCAGGACTGCAGGTTTGGGAAGGCAATTTGGGCAGCGACCATGGCTCATATCCTGGGCTTTGGGACCCCACACACTGTGCAGAGGTTGGGCAGCTGTAGAGATTCCTATGCTGGCAGGGAGCTGGTGTAGGGTTGGGGTTTGCTCCAGGAAGCCAACTTGTAGAGGTCACAGCCTAGGCCAGAGGTGGAGACCCTGGGGTTGAGAGGGCGTGTGTGTAGGGGGTATCTGGGGTGGGGGGTGCAGTGGCTGCAGGGCCTGTGGTCTGGGAAGGTCGGGAATGGCTGGGTGGCGGGGGTGCCATGGTTCCAGACTGTTAGGCTGGCCTCCTGACCAGGGACCTCTAGTTTCTCTCTGTGAGGTCAGTTTAGGGGCCCAGGCGGGTTGCGGTCTAAGCTCCCTGTGAGGCCAGTGGAGCCAGTCTGTAAAGCAAGCTTGGGTGCAGGAGAGAGCCTAGGAGGGACAGAGCTCTAACGTGTGGACCCCCTGTGAGAGCAGAGGCAGCCCAGAGCCCCCAAAGGTAAGGCTGATGATGGACACTGGTCGCAGAGGATGGGAAGGGCTTTGGCCCTGGACTCTGTGGGACAGAGGTTGTTTATGAACAGGCTGCCCCCATGATGAGGGCCCAGGGGGTGGGGCAGGATGTATGGAAAGAAAAGTTGAGGACAGGGAGGGCGGCCACAGGAGGCCATTTCTCTCAACCCCCTGTGCCAACACAGGAGGAGGCAGGCAGCCTCCCTACCTCACAGCCTCCTGCTGGTCCCTCACCTGAGGGCTCCTCTCCATTGGGTGCCATTTCTGATCAGTTCCCTGAGCCCTGGTTGGCCCAACCTGTGGCTTGGGAGAAATGCCTGTGGCCTCTCTTTGCCTGCTGACAGAGTCCTTTTCCATTAAAGGTCTGGCAGAATGCGAAGCAGAAAACTGTGGATGGGACAGGCAGGGTCCAAGTGAAAGGCAGCCTGCCAGGGAAGGAAGGAGCTGTAAAGCTCTGGGTAGGTCTTTATCCTCGGGGGTGGAGAAGAGTTATGTGTGAAGCTCTGCAATCTGGCAATATCACAACCCTCCCACCAGCCATCGCTCTGGGGTCATAAGTACCCAGACTTAACACCCCAACGCAGGAAGAAATCCTTGGAGAATTCAAATCAGGCAAGAAGTCCTAGGCTTTTGTGAGTCTGGGCAGCACTCCAGGGTGGGAGTCTCTGGTTTTAAGACCTTGTTCAGTCATACCCTGTCCTGGTTCCCAGTGACTGATAGATCATGTCTATTGGTAGAAGTCAGGGCCAGGGGTCAGGGTAATGCTGAAGGTAAGAAGCCAGTATGAGGCCAAGGGGTCAATCCATGGACAAGGTTAGGAGTCAGTCCATGGGCAGGGTTAAGGGCCTATGTATGAGTAGGGTAGGGGTCAGGTTGGGGCCAGAGGTTAGCCTGTGCTTGTAGCCAGGAAATGAAGTTACTTTCTCTGTAAATCAAACTGCCCCACCCGATTATTCTCAAGCCCATAAACATCACCAGTCTGAAATTAGCAGCTCCTGGGGTGGGGTCTACTTCCACCCCAACCCTGCGCCCCTCCCTGTTTCCAGCTGTGAACTCTGCCCAGGCGTAGCTTTGGGGAGCTGAGGTTGTTCTGGGCCCCATGATGAGCATTCCCCTTAACTGTTTCTGGATATGTGAGTGTGTATACATGCTGTGCAAGCTTCCGTGGCTGCCACCCCCTCTCTCAAAGTATCAGCAGGATCCTCCTTCTTTAACACAGATAGATTCAGGTCCTCCCTCCCTCCCTAAAGAACTCAAAATAAGTCTCAGCAAGACCAAAAACTTCTAACAAGAGCAAATTCAGAATCCACATCATGAAGGGAAAGAGCGCTGCTCACATTTGTCCGATTCCCTGCCTTTATCGATCACCTTCCTTACCTGGACTTGCAGGTCTTCACAAGCCTCTTACGTGAGCCATTTTTCAGGAAACACACTTAGGCACAGAGTGGTGACATGATTCACTCCAGCCAGGTACCACAACAGGCCCTTGTCAGCCCTGACACCACAGGGTAGGGGCACTCAGAATGCCATACTCAGAGATGGATGATAGCTGGGGAGATCATGGGCACATGGTTTGGACATAGAATCCAGCTTACAGTGACAACTCCTGAGTCTTTTTTTCCTGGTGGTTCTAGATTGTTTCTCCTCCACACACAGTAGCTGTAGTCCAGAAATCCTCTCATGCATTCAACCACATGTTTCTCCAGCACTTAGTGTAGTGCCTGACACCAAGAAAATGCTCAAAAAGTTTTTGCTGAAAAATCAAAACAATGTACAAACACAGCTACCAGCTTCTGCCTCGTGGTCTTGATCCACTGGTATGCTGTAAATGTTTTACAATCAACTCTCCAAGAGGGAGAAACTACCTGATTTGTAGTATTTGCCAATTTCTGTGGTGTAAATGCTCCCACCGTGGCTGATTTCAAGCTACCAACATAATGTTGGTGAATGCAGAACTTGGAAGAGATGCATGTAATCAGCCCCTGCGAGCTGGTGGGAACCACCTTCAGCATGCCACTCCATTGCCCTGAGCTGGGCTTCTGTCCCTGGCTTACAAAGCCTGTCCCCACCCCCTCTATTTGCCTTCCCTTTCTCAGCATCGCTCTGTAAGTGCCCACCAGCCCCTATCTTTCTCCTGGTTCTGATTGCTGGGCAGCCAACCATGTGCCTCCCAGGACAGTAGGATTGCATGTGTCTGGAAATCTCCAAACTGCTCGCCGTGTGGGAGTATCCTGGACATGTTTGGGTGTCTGTCCATGATGGGGCTGGGTTGTGTGAACTATGCATGAGCAAGAGTGTGTACATGTATGTGTATGGGTGTGACAGTGCCCAGCTCTGTGTCTGCCTGTGTTCTGTTAGGAAAACTTCCTGATCAGGCCACTTGTTACAGAAAAGGAGCGGGCTCTGAGCAGCCCCCACCTTTGTTTAGGGAGGACACCAGGCCCACAGCCGAGGACAGTAGCGTCGGTGATCTGAAGACTGGTCCAGGGACACAATGAGCAGCACTTCTCCAACTTTAATGTGCACTGAGCCACCTGGGATCTTGTTAAAATGCAAGTTCTGACTCAGCAGGTAGGATGCGGTGGGACCTGAGGGTCTGCATTTCTAACAAGTTCCCAGGACCTGCAATGCTGCTGTCCTGAGACTGATCACACTGTGTAACAAAGCTATTGATGACCTGGAGGACACTGTCTCTGGCCTCCAGAACCTCACAGACACAAATTCAAGTTCTTCCCATCTTAGCAAAGAAATGAAAACCCATCGTCCCCTCCTCAAGCCTATGTTCCTCCAGCAGCTGCCCACAGGTCAGCTCTTGATCTTAGCCAAGCTTCCTGAATGCTAGCTCCGTCCTCAGCCCTGTGGTCACTGCTCCTCTCCCACCCCTTCTCCATCATTCCACCCAAATGCCGGCCTGGGTGTCTCCAGTGTCATCCAACAACCTCTAAAGACATTGAGCTTCACATTTTTCTCCTCCCAAGGTCTGCATGAAACCACAGCAGGCATCTCAGCCTCCATGGCCAGCCCACCTTGCTCCAGTCAGTCTTCCCGCGCAGGCTCCCCCTCTTTCTCCCCGTTTCTGCTGTCTGCCAAATCTCCCATAACAATAACTCCCAAACACACATGCCCACCTCAGCTCTCTCTCTGACCGCTCCACATCGCATCTGGCGCAGTGGTCTGTTCTTTCAGCAGTTTCAAAACTGCAGCTGGAGCGCCTGCCCTCTCCCCCTGCCAGCCTGCCTTCTCCAGTGTTCTCCATCTCACCATCTCCTGGCTTCAGTCAGACAGTGTCACCCCTGACACCCTCTCCTTCCTAATGCCCCATGTGCAATCCAGCCATCCTCTACCAGCCCTGTTGATTCTAACCACTAACTTACAGGTCTCCACTTCTTTCTCAAGACACAACCAGCACCATCATCTTATTGCCTGGGACCCTGATAGGCACTGACCAGCTGCAATTCACCTCCCCATGCAGCCAGAGGGACTTCCTCAAACACAGTTTTAGTCAAGCTGTCACCTCCACTCTGTCACTTCAAACCTGTCAAAATTTTCTGTTGCCCTTCATGTAAAACCAAGTCTAAAATAGGCTCTACAATGGCCTGCCTGCAGGGTCAGCCCAGCCTAACCGCTCTCTCCAACCTTACCAGGCTCCCTTTTCTACCCTGCCTGTACCCAGCTGTGATCTTGAGGGCATCCTTTGTAATCTCAAATTTTCACCCAGTCATTATCTGATTAAAATCAGTTTCCCCACCAGGCTGTGGACCCCCATGGTGGGGACTGTGTCATTCTGGGTCACTGATGTCCCCCAGCACCTGGCACAGAGTGGGCACCCAAAAACATTTAGGATTATCTTGATTCCAACAAAACAACTGTTAAAAAGATTGTGAGACAAGCTGAGATGGTGGAACTGAGCATTAGATGAGATTAGGGAATTACCATTAATTTTGTTGCACATGATAATGGTGGCATGGCAATATTTTTTTTTACAAGACTGTATCTGTTGGAAAGGGATGCTGAAAAATATATTGGTGAAACATGTGTCTTGGATTTGCTTCAAAGGACTCCAGCCAGAAGTAAATAAAGTAAATAAGCATTCAATGAGGGAACAAAGGAACACATAAATGCCATTCTGCTTGTCTGTTCCTGTTCACAGCCACAGGGCCTGTGAAGATGCTGGCGGTTCCGGAGATGGGCCTGCAAGGGCTGTACATCGGTAAGAACCCCCCCAACCTCTCCCCTGACCCACCACCCAACTCATCCCAGCACTGAGACCCACCCACGCTGCATGTGGCCTCGCTCAAAAGAGGTTCCTGAGAGAGAGAGAGAGAGAGAGAGAGAGAGAGTGTGTGTGTGTGTGTGTGTGTGCAGGGAGGGTTGGTGCACACAGGACTGTGAGTGTGTGTGTGTGTGCATGCACACACTCACAGGGCAGGTCTGTTCACGGACCCCTTATGTATCTATGAGTGTGTGCAGAGTGGGTCTCTGTGCACAGGACTGTGTGTGTACGCGTGTTTCATGCAGGTCTGTGTGATGTAAGAGTATGTCTGTCTGTGGGCAGGTCTCTGCACAGGGCTTTGTGTGGGAGTGTGTCTGTCTGCAAGTGGTTCTGCACAGAGAATTCTATGTGCGCCTGCATGTCTGCCTGTGGCCCAGCCTGGGAGCAGGCTGTAGGTTCTCTGTGGGGGTGGGAGGCCAGGAGGGAGGAGGGACACTCCTCAGGAAGTCCACTCACAAAGCCCTGGCAGGCTGGCCTTCCTTCCTGCCTCCCTTCCCAGGCTCAAGCCACAGCAGTTTGGCCCCTCAAGTGGAGCTGGTGGCAGGGTGCAAGGCTGCTCTGACCGCTTGAGAAAGGGGACCCCAGGAATGTGACCGCCATGTCCCTGCCCCTCCAGCACCTCATGATAGACTCCAGCCCTGTTCAGGCACTTCCCAGAGTGTGCCTCATGCGTGGCCCCTCAGATATTCCCAGGGTAGCCCAAGGCAAAGGAAGGCTGGGACCTGTCAGGGCCACACAGAACGGCAGCTGCCAAGGGAGCACAGGCCCTGGCCAGGCTCAGCCTGGAGCTAGGCAGACTGGTTTGATTTGCCCATGGGTGTTCACTCCAGGCCCCATCCGCCTCCCTGGCCAGTCTCCCTGTCCCCAGGCATGAGTCTCAGGGAAGCTCCAGTGTCCCTCCAAGGGGCCTCAGCAAAGCCCACACCTGAGGAATGTCCCTCCAAGCAGGTCCCTGCACTGCCTGAACTTCCAGGCCAGGCTGTGGGCTGCTTCTCCCCATCAAAGGTGCACGCAGCTCAGTTCTGGGCCTGCAAGTGGTCTCCGGGGGCCTCCTGCTCCAAATGCTGGTGCAAGTCTACGTGTGTTATGGGGGAGGAGGGCTCGGAATTTGACTTCCTAGTGTTGTAGACACCCCTCAGCTCAGGGCTTGGCTGGAGGAGATGCTACTTCCCTTGATTCTCACCAGGCAGCCAGCACTGACCTGTCCTGGCACTTGGGTGGGGGAGTGGGGGTGGTTCCCTCGGGTCTGATGAGACCCATGTGGCCAATCTCTGAGGCGGCAGGAAGCAGCCCCACCTCCCTCAGTTAGGTCTGCCGTTCTCCCATCTTTTCTGGTTTCCCTACCTCCACCCTCACAGGAGCTCGCCCTCAGTCCCCCATTTCTCCTGCCCTTCTATCATTGGACTGAGTCTCTCCCCTCCCCAGGTGATGCATGGATAGGTGGCCTCTGATAACAGGTCCTCAGCCCTCCCCGACCTCAGTCTCCTTCCTGTCCTCCCCGGCTAGTCTCCCTCCCTCAGCAGAGTGGTCTTTGTTTTGGCCCGGGAGGGACTGATGGAGAACCTCCCAGTACCAGGCCTGCAGCCCAGCCACCAACCCCCTACCTGATTGTGCCAGAGTGACTTGCCCTCTCTTTGCAGGCTCCAGCCCAGAGCGGTCCCCAGTGCCTAGCCCACCCGGCTCCCCAAGGACCCAGGAAAGCTGTGGCATTGCCCCCCTCACACCGTCACAGTCCCCAGTAAGCCCAGAGCAGGGATCTGGGAGGTGGGTGGCCTGGGTGGTGTGGAGGTGGCGGTCGAGCTCCAGAGGGCAAGGCCTGGTGTCTGGCAGGGTCGGCAGGGCCTGGGCTGGATTGGGGGTGCCGCCATGCCTCCTGCCTCTGCACACGCCTGTCATGTTCCTGGCAGAAGGGGTGACCGTAGGAGACCTTGGACTGTAGTGGTACCAGTTCTGCTGAGGTTAGCCTCATGTAACCAACAACCATCCTCCAGGATGACACCCAGGGGCCACTGTGGCTGGCCTGCCTGGAGCAGCTGTACTTCTGAGCATGTAGCTTCTAGGTCCTCAGAGAGCAGGCCTCCCAGAGTTGCTCCCCCCTCCAACTGCCCCATGCACCACAGCCCTACCTGAATACAAGTTATCTCTGGAGAAGAGGAGACACATTAAAAACAGCTTGGAAACTACTAGTTTGAAGTATCCAGGATATAAGCCCCCACAAGCTCCCTGGGTCGCCCCACCTGGGTGCTCCAGCCTCACCTAGTAATCCAGCATGGGAATCCCCTTGTTCTCAGGGAGCCCAGGCCTGACCTGAGAGAAGTCTGGGACTATTCTGGGCACGTGCATGGGCTTCTCTTCTCTGCCACAAAACAGACAGACACTGTGTCACTGTGGCCACAAAGAGCAAGAGCAAGAGAGGCAAATATACACAGGTCCATGCGCTCCAATCTACTTGCTGGAGTGAAATTGCTCCCAGCTGGGCCCAGGCTGTGACATGGTATGAAGTGGGGGTGGGGCTCAGGCAGCCCAGGCAGATGGTGGGTAGAGAACTAGGAGCAGGAAAGCAGGGGCTTGAGCCAAAAGCTCCAGGGCTACTGGAGAGACCTTGGCATGTCCAGGGTTCAGCCTGGAGCCTGGGAGGCGGCGGAGCCCAGGCAAGCAGGTGGGGCTGGGCCAGGGCTGGCCTGGACAGAGCCAGGGGAGGGGAGGGTCTCACTCACAGTCCGCCTGGCCTTCGGGCTGCTCCCTGACTCTAGGTCTTGCCTTTGCAGAAGCCTGAGGCCCGAGCCCCCCAACAAGCCTCCTTCTCTGTGGTGGTGGCCATCGACTTTGGCACCACATCCAGTGGCTACGCCTTCAGCTTTGCCAATGACCCTGAGGCCATCCACATGATGAGGTGAGGGCAGCTGGCTGGGGGATTGAGGGTGGGCCTCACCCCCTGGGATCGGCCTGGTCTCAGGAATGCTGTCACTGAGGAGACCTGGGCTCTCATCAGAGCTCCTTCCTCCTCTGGTGTGGAGCTCCCCACGGGAACAAAATGTTGGAGGATGAGCCCCAGGCCTGGGCTCCTATCCTCAATTGGAGCAGCCCCCCGCCCTCTGCAGGAAATGTCAGGCTTTGTTTTTAACTTTAAAAGATTTTATTGAGATATAAAAAACGTACAGTAGAATACACAAATCTCTTTCTGGGCTTGTAGAGGCAGACCTCAGAGACATTGTGGGTTCAATCCAGACCACTGTAATAAAGCGAATATTGCAGTAATGCAAGTCAAATGAGTTTTCTGGTTTTGCAGTGCATATAAAAGTTATGTTTACATCGTACTGTAGTCTGTTAAGTGTGAGACAGTATTATGTCTAGAACAATGTGCATACCTTAATTTAAAAACACTTTATTGCTAAAAATGCAAACCATCATGTGAGCTCTCCGCGAGTCATTATCTTCTTGCTGGCAGAGGATCTTGCTTTGATGTTGACAGCTGCTGACTGATTGGGGCGGCAGTTGATGAAAGTTGGGATTGGCTGTGGCAATTTCTTAAAATAAGACAACAGTGAAGTTTGTGGCATTGACTGACTCTTCCCTTTCATGAATGATTTCTCTGGCATGTGATGTTGTTTGATAGCATTTTACCCACAGTAGAACTTCTTTCAAAATTGGAGTCAATCCTCTCAAAGCCTGCCACTCTTTAATCAATTAAGTTGATGTTATACTCTAAATCCTTTGTTGTCATTTCGACAATATTCACAGTATCTTCACCAGTAGATTCTATTTCACAAAACCACTTTCTTTGCTCATCCATAAGGTGCAACTCCTCATCCATTAAAGTTTCATCATGAAGCTGCAGCAATTCAGTTACATCTTCAACTCCACTTCTAATTCTAGTTCTCTTGTTTCTACCACATATTCAGTTACTTCCTTCCTGAAGTCTTGAGCCCCTCAAAGTCACCAATGAGGGTTGGAATCTATTTCTTCCAAATTCCTGACAATATTGATATTTTGACCTCCTCCCATGAATCACAAATGTTCTTTTTTTTGTCATGACAATTGTTTTTATTTTGGTATCATTAACATATAATTACATGAGCAACATTGTGGTTACTAGATCCCCCCAATATCAAGTCCCCCCACCTACCCAATTACAGTCACAAATGTTCTTAATGCAATCTAGAATGGTGAATCTTTTCCAGAAGGTTTTCAGTTTACTTTGCCCAGATCCATCAGGGGATCTATGGCAAAGTAAATATGCCAAATAATCTATGGCAGCTCTAGCCTTACAAATGTGTATCAAGTAAGACTTGAAGTTCAGAATTACTCCTTGATCCATGAGCTGCAGAATGGGTGTTGTGTGAGCAGACATGAAAATATAACATTAATCTCATTGTCCATCTCCATCAGAGCTCTTGCATGACCAGGTGCTTTATCAATGAGCAGTAATCTTTTGAATCTTTTCCTTTTTCAGCAGTAGGTCTCAATAGTGGGCTTAAAATATTGAGTAAACCATGTTGTAAACTGTCATCCAGGCTTTGTTTTCCCATTTTATAGAGCATAGGCAGACTAGATTTAACATAATTCTTAAGAGCCCTATGATTTTCGGGATAGTCAATGAGCATTAGCTTCAACACAACTTCACCAACTGCATTAGCCCCTAACAAGAGAGTCAGCCTGTCCAGCTTTGAAACTTTGAAGCCAAGCCAAGCATTGACTTCTCCTCTCTAGCTGCAAATATACTTTCCAATATAAGAATGTTTCATGTACATTGGAGATCTGTTGTTTAGTGTAGCCACCTTCATGAATTATCTTAGCTGGATCTTCTGAATAAGCTGCAGCTTCTACATCAGCACCTGCTGCTTCACCTTGCACTCTGCTGTTAGGGAGATGGTTTCTCTTTTTAACCCTCATGAACCAACCTCTGCTGGCTTCAGATTTTTCTTTGCAGCTTCCTCATCCCTCTGAGCTTTCATAGAATTTAAGAGCATTAGGGCCTTGCTCTGGATTGGGTTTTGGCTTGAGGGAATGTTGGGGCTGGTTTGATCTATGCAGACCACTGAAACTTTCTCCATATCAGCAGTGAGGCTGCTTCCTTTTCTTATCATTCGTGTGCTCACTGGAGTAGCACTTCCAATTCCTTCAAGAACTTCCCTTTGCATTCATAACTTGGCTCACTGTTTGATGCAAGAGGCCTTCCTCTTGGCCTGTCTCAGCTTTCAACATGCCTTCCTCATCAAGCTTCATTATTTCTAGCTTTTGATTTAAAATGAGAGACATGGGACTCTTCCTTTCACATAAACACTTAGAGGCCATTGTAGAGTTAATAATTGGCCTAATTTCAATATTGTCTCAGAGATTAGGGAGGTCTGAGGAGAGCGAAAGAGATGGGGGAATGGCTCGGTGGAGCACTCTGAACAAACACATTGATGGATTAAGTTCACCATCTTTTAAGGACGTGATTTGTGGTGCTTCAAAACAATTACAATAGGAACATCAAAGATCACCAATCACAGATCAGCACAACAAATATAATAATGAAAAAGTTTGAAATACCATGAGAATTACCAAAATGTGACACAGAAACATGAAGTAAGCAAATGCTGTTGGCAAAATGGTGCCAATAGACTCGCTCGACACAGGTTTGCCACAGACCTTCAATTTGTAAAAAACAGTATCTGTGAAGCCCAATAAAATGAGGTATGCTTGTACACAAACATGCACACGTGTATGCACATATAGGTGGGGTGTTTTAATAAAAGCGAGATATTATACAACTTGCCTTATTTTAAACTTTCAACACTGTTTTGTAAATGTTTCATGTCAATACTCAGAGCCACTACTTTCTTTTAATGGTTGCACAGTATTCCACAGTCCAGGCGTGTCATAATTCATCCACTCCTCTATTAATACTTTTAGGTGTTTTTTTCCTCTAATTTTTCACTGTAACAAAAGTGCTATGGTGAAAAGCCTTCCTTGAAAACTTGTGTTGGGATTTCTATGCGGTAGACTCCTAGAGGCAGTTTCTAGGTCCAACATCTCAAATGAAAAGCAAGGACACAGAAGATCACAGGGTTAAGTGAGTTGACAAGTTAAAAATTTATTATGAAAGAGATGTTTGAAAAATTCATTCTGTTGTTGAGTTTTGTTCAAACAAAACATTTGCTTGACACTGCCCTACAGACCTCAAGACACTGATTCTTTGTATGTATTTGAGTGGGGCTGTAGCCAGTAGGTGGAAGACTCCTATAGAAAACCCCAAAACTCCCAACCCAGACTGGGATGGGGGATCAGGGGGCTTCCCCAGGGGCTGGGAGGCTGGATGGAAGGGTGGATGGAGAGACAGACAGAAAGGTCACTGCCCCCACAAGGGACCTGACCTGTGTGAGCCTGGACTGTCTTCCCCCTTTCTCTGCTCCCTCCACATCCATTGAGGCTACAAAGGCTCTGGGCACTTACAGCCCTCTAGGTGTTACAGGGCATCCCAGCTGGCACGCTTGTCAGCACACACTGCTGAGGCTATGCTGGGCCCCATTCTGGGGCTGAGGACACCGTCTCTGTCCTGTGGAGGTGACAGTCACAGGAACTAACTGGGGGATATCCTGGCCTCCTCCCAAGCCCTCCCTATTCCTACCAGTCTCCAAGCCCTGTCATTTCTATCTCCCCAGTATCTCTGGAATACTCATCCATTGCTTTCCATGGCCAGCACCCCTAAGTTCAACCCCACCCTTTCTTACCTGGACAGTTGCAGTAGTCTCCTCCCTGGTTTTCTTCCCTATCCTCCCTTCCCTCCAGTCTATTGCTAAATGAGGACCAGTGACCTTTCTATAGGAAAATGTGGACATGCCTCTTCTCTTCCCTACTTAAAACTCACCAGATAGGTCTCTGATATGGCATTTGATGCTCTTCCTTATTTGACCTTAACATTCCTGCATTCTCTCCTGCTGCATATGGAGCCAGTTCTCCCTGCTCTTACACACCTCTAACTTCTGTACATGCTGTTCCTTCTGCCTGGATTCCTAGTTCCTTCTCCAAAAGGTCGTGGTGGTGAGTTTGGCCTAGAGGAGTTAGGGCATCAGAGCAGGCCGAGGAAGAGGAGGCAGGATTTGCCCGGCTAGTGAACCAGGTAGGGAGTTCTAGGTGGGGATCTGCAGATAGGGAGGTTTGGAATCTCATTCAGGTTTGGGGATACTACCAGGGGTGCAGTCGACTGGGGTATAGCTGCTGAGGTGGGTCAGATAGGAATGATCATGAATGCCTTGAAGGAGCTTGGCTGAAGGAACTAACCTAGAGGAGGGTGAACTGGCTGGCTGGGAGGGAGAAGGCCTCTGCCAAAGCCCTGGAGAGAAATTAGGAGGCCATATGGGGCAGGTGTCGTTAAGGGAACAGGGAGGTGAAGCCAGATGGTGTCACCTCATGGGAGGAAACAGGAGCTGAGAATGTTGCTGGGTCCCATGGCTCCCTGGAAAGGGAGGACCCAGGGAGCAGCATTTATGGAGATGTAAGTGGATACCAAGTTCCATCTTCATACAAACCCTAAGAAGTAGGCACTATTATTATTCCCATTTTACAGATGGGAAGACTGGGGCTTGGGAGGCTAAGTGGTCACAAAGCTGGTTGCAGAGCCAGTACCCAGCCCCAGGAAGGGAATATTCTCCATGACCACGCTGACAGCTCTGTGCCTCCACAGGAAATGGGAGGGTGGGGACCCAGGTGTGGCCCACCAGAAGACCCCCACCTGCCTGCTTCTGACCCCAGAGGGAGCCTTTCACAGTTTTGGCTACACCGCACGCGACTACTACCATGACCTAGACCCTGAGGAGGCGCCGGACTGGCTCTACTTTGAGAAGTTTAAGATGAAGATCCACAGTACCACTGTAAGTCACATTCTGGCTGGAACCTGACTCCAGCTAGGGAGGTGGGGCCAGGAGGGGAACAGTCGGGGTTAATGGAGGTGGGCAAAGCTAAAGGGTGAGGACGGGATGGGCCTGGGGGGGAGGGGCTGGGGACAGAACTAAAGTGAGATTAGTGACAGTGGGATGATGCCAGAGAGGGGAAGCACCAGGAAATGGGGTGATTTTTAGAGAGGTCATTGGAAATGGGGGCAAACCTATGGCCTCCTGCAGCCACCTTGTGCCCCTGCCAGGATCTCACCTTGAAGACCCAGCTGGAGGCTGTAAATGGAAAGAAAATGCCTGCCCTGGAAGTGTTTGCTCATGCCCTACGCTTCTTCAAGGAACATGCCCTTCAGGTGGATTACAGCCCCGCCCCTGGGACCCAGGACCCTAAGCCCATCCTGTCCCCTCAATTCATACCCTGGCCATCCACTGAGTAACCACAGTCAGAGGTCAGAGGTCATCTTCTCCAGTCCACTGCTTTCCACTCTGGTAGAGCCTGCACTGGCCATACTGGTGCTGGGGCTGGGGGTGGTGAGGGGAGAGTTAGGAATTCTTCCCAGAAAGCTGGGAAGTCCTTCCTGAGGCTGGGTTAGTTACTCCAGCTGCCACAGAGGACTGAAGACAGGCTCCAGCTCGAGGCAACCATTCCCCACACTGCCCTCTTCTGCTCCAGGAGCTGAGGGAGCAGTGCCCATCGCTGCCAGAGAAGGACACGGTGCGCTGGGTGCTAACGGTGCCTGCCATCTGGAAACAGCCGGCCAAGCAGTTCATGCGGGAGGCTGCCTACCTGGTGAGGATCTGCAGGCAGAGCAGTGGGTGTGGCGCTGGTGGGCCACATACCACCTTCACCCCACTGCCCTTGGGACCACTGAGTCATGGGGTCATCCCCTGCTAGGCATTTTGGAGAGTTGTTGCCCCTAGGAGAGGGGGTGGGCCTGCAGGAACAGAGAGCAGAGGGACGAGAGGCACAGCCCAGGCCAGCTTAGCCAGGTTCTTAAGTCAGGTTTCCTAGAAGCAGAGCCTGAGATGGGGATTCTTGATCATGGGGTCTAGGGAAGGACTCTCAGGAGAAAAGGGAGTGGGGGAGGCAGGACAGGAGAAAGGGCTAAGCAGAATCCAGCTTTCAGCCTGATGGCACGGAGAGCCCTGGAGGGGAACTGTACCTTGGTGTTGGCCACACTGGGCCAGAGCACTGGCTTTTTGTACATCCATATCAGGCCATCATTGGTTGCTGGGGAAAATGGGAGAAACCTCTCTAATGAGGTGGTTCCTGTTCAGCTGAGGGCAGTTTTCCAGAGAAGGGGGCAGCTGTGAGCCAATAGCAGCCAACACACAGGAGCTGGGCAGGGCACCACTAACAGCCACCTCAGCTGGCATCAGTACCTTCAAGACCCCACCACCACCATGGCCCCAAACACTGTAAGTTCTTGAACAGGGGAGATAGGACTGTGAAACTATGAAGGGAGGTGATTTTGCCCAGTGTTCACTGGGTTTCCTACCATAAGAGATGCCCAAAGGCCTAGAGAAAGAGGGGTACAGCACAGGCATGCACCCTCTCCAGTGCACACAAGATGCGGGAGGGAGCCACAACCTCCCAGAGCAAACTAATTGTTTGGTCTTGCCCCTAGGGCCTTGGAGCACACCCTAGGATCTCCAAAAGGGATCTCAGGCCTACCTGTGCACCCCCCTGAAGGATACCAGGGCATCCAACCCCCACACATACACCCATGGGCCAGGCTCTCCCCAGGTGCCAGGTCTGTAGGGGGCTCTCCTCGTCCCTGGAAGGAGCCGAGCCCAGTGGGCAAGCCCTCTGCAGTGACCAGGATGAAAGCAAGGCTGGGCCCAGCCAGAACAAACACCCCGCCCCTAGTGTCCCCAGTCAGTTCACCCGCCCTGCTTCCTCCCACACTGCTCCCTGCTGCCAGCTCAGGAAGGGCTGGCCCTGGGCAGGAAGACTCCCTACCCACCCATCCCCACCCCTGACCTGGTCAGAATCCAGGGGATCCCAGAAAACTGTAAAGTACTTCCCAGAGGGGTCCCCTATCCTAATGCAGGAAGTGACAGATCCCAAGGGTTTTCTCCCCTATCTGGCCTGCCTTGGTGCCTGGAATTTCACTGTTAAGAGTTTATTTCTTCCTATATCAGATTCCCTGGGAACAAAGTTCTGAAAGTGGGGAGGCTTGTGGCCACTGTCTGACCCCAGCCTAGGGGAGGAAAAAGGTTCAGTGAGCCAAAGGGGATCCCCCCCCACCTCTGATGGATGGTCTGCCCATTACTCACTGTGCTAGAGTCCCCACTAGCACCCTCGGCCAGTCCCCAGATGGCCAGCCCTGCACCTGTGAAGGGGACCTTGCTGCAACCCAGGCTGCCTAGGCAGTTTAGAAGGACAGATCCCAGGTGCTTTACGTTTTCACTCTGTCTAGGGTCTCTTCTTGCTGGGCAACCCCAGGGTGTTCCTGGCCATGGCCATGCCCTTCCTCAGCCTGGTCACAGGGTAACTGTGGAAGCAGCTCCAAATTTGTGCAGCATGGAGACAACTGAGAGACCTAGAATGGATGGAGTGTGATGGGAAGGAGGTGGGAGCCCTGCAGGCCCTGGTTTCCTGCCCCAGGGTGTCATCTTAGGTATGACACTTGACCCATGGTGCTCCCTGGCCCTGCCCAACATCCATCTCCAGGCTGGCCTGGTGTCGAGAGAAGATGCAGAGCAGTTACTCATTGCCCTGGAGCCTGAGGCTGCCTCTGTCTACTGCCGCAAGTTGCGTCTGCACCAGCTCAGGGATCTCAGCAGCAGGGCCCCAGGCAGTGGACGCCTGGGCGAGCGCCGCTCCATCGATTCTAGCTTCCGGCAAGGTAAGCTGCCCCCAGGGGCACTACCCAGTGGTGGGCCTGGAGGCACTCACCCTTGGAGGGTCAGAGGTCACTGAGGCCATAGGCTCCACCACGTCCAGCATGAAGGGGAGCCTCCCCCAACCCAATCTGAGAGGGCAGAAACATCCCTGGAAGAGTTCAGTCTGAGGGAGAAGCCACAGCCCTGACCTCGGGAAGCTTAATCGAGGGCAGACATTTCATCTTGCCCTAGGGGAGCATTGTCTGAGGAGCACAGATCTCAGCCCAGCCCTGAGTCTGAGAGCTGGGAGAGAGCCTATCCTGGGGGGAGGTGCTGGGGTCCTGACAAAGGAGGAAGTCAGCCCCCCACCCAGGCCAAGGTGAAAGTCTTCAGGAGCTTCCTCCTGAACAGCCAGTGAATTAGCCACCCCTCTTCCGGACATCCGCTTCAAGCTCCTGCTGCTGGACTTGGGCACCCAGACAGCTATGGTTAACCTGGGTCACCATCCTAGGTGACAGCTCCCATGATGGGGTGAAGTTCCAAGTCCTGAGCTCCCCTGGGTTTCCCAAGACCTCCCAACCCCACAGCTCCTCCAAAGCCTGATCTTGCCATGACTTGAGCCCTCTGCCTTAAGGGAAGGCCCTGCGGCCAGAAATACTTGGGCTCTGTCGTTGGCTATAGCCCCTGAGATTACCTATGGGGTTTCTCAGGACCCTTTGAGGTTTTCGCACTGCCCTCTCCCACTTGGGAGTGGAGCAGGAGTTTGAGGAGAACTGGCTGCCCCAGGTGCTCATGGAGGGCCCTGGTGGGAGGACAGGAGTGGGCACCCTAGGGGAGGCACCTCCTTCTAACCTCCCTGTCCTGCTATCCCTCGACCCCCAGCCCGTGAGCAGCTGCGGAGGTCCCGCCACAGCCGCACTTTCCTGGTGGAATCTGGCGTCGGGGAGCTGTGGGCAGAGATGCAAGCAGGTGTGACGGATGGATATTTTTTGGGCTCTGAAGGAGCACCGTATGCTGATAGGGGGCAAGGGAACATTCACCAAGTCAAATCTGCCCCAACCCATTGAAGCCCCACCTCTTCCTCCTCCATTAGCTCTACCTGATCTGGCTGTCCCCTCACAGTCACCTGAATTCACCCCACACACAGCTGCGCCCCTAAATCCCACTCCTCCCAGGGATTCAACGCTGGGAGTTGCACAGCCCTGGAAACATGTTCTCCCACACCTTGCGCCCCTACCACGCGAACTGAGGTTCAATCACATGAAGCCCCTTACAACCCACCCTCACCCCAGTTCCCCTGCAGGCAGGGCTTGGGACCTCAGGCAGGGCTGGACACTGATTGAGTCTGGAGGGGGCGCAGAACTAAGCTTAGGTGCAAGGCAGCCCACGAGTGTATGCTCACACTCACCACCACAGGAGACCGCTACGTGGTGGCAGACTGCGGGGGAGGCACGGTGGACCTGACCGTGCACCAGCTGGAGCAGCCCCATGGCACCCTCAAAGAGCTCTACAAGGCGTCTGGTGAGTAGTCTGGCAGTGCCCTTGATACCCAGTGCACCCTGGCCTGCCAACATCCCCTGGCGGCAGAGTCGGCGCTGAAGCCAACTTCGCCCCATGCCCCACCGCAGGCGGCCCCTATGGCGCGGTGGGCGTAGACCTGGCCTTCGAGCAGCTGCTGGGCCGCATCTTCGGCGAGGACTTCATCTCCACCTTCAAAAGGCAACGGCCGGCAGCCTGGGTGGATCTGACCATCGCCTTCGAGGCTCGCAAACGCACTGCAGGCCCACACCGTGCGGGGGCGCTCAATATCTCCTTGCCCTTTTCCTTCATCGACTTCTACCGGAAGCAGCGAGGCCACAACGTGGAAACGGCCCTACGCAGGAGCAGGTGGGTCTGGGGAGCGGGGACTCAGGCAGGGTTTATGGAGGGGGAACGCTGCTACGAGGGAGGGTGTGGGCCAAGGGAAAAGTGGGGGTGCACCTGATCCACCCCGTGCACACATCATGCCAGCCCCAGTGGGGAGAGAGGGTTGTGAGTACCCCAGCTGGAATTTGTAGTCCAAATTCGGGCAAGAGAATCTTGGGCCCTGGAGGAAAGGCCGGCATCTCTCTCTTCCCCACTGCCTGCAGACACGCATGCACACACACACACACACACACACAAACACGTGCCAGCCAGTGCGCCATGGTTCCTCTGGCCAAAGGCAAAGGGAGGCTTTTTCCTGGGTTTTCATGCCTGGAACTGGAGCTGGCCAGCAGCTAAAGCTCCTGAGAGAGGGCTTGGGATAACATACAACATGCCATCAGTGCCCAGGCACATTGGCCTGGAGGGGAGGGGTAGAACTCCAGACCCTGACTGATCCGTGGGCCTGTGCCTCCTTCTTCGTCATCTACAGTGTGAACTTTGTGAAGTGGTCCTCACAGGGAATGCTCAGGATGTCTTGCGAGGCCATGAACGAGCTCTTTCAGCCCACGGTCAGCGGGATCATCCAGCACATAGGTGAGTGCCTGAGCTTAGGTCCTCCATTCACCCCACATAAACACAGATGAGGGAATAATTCCCATTAGTGCCCGCCTGGAAACCTCCACACGTCCATTCACTGGAATGAGATCCAGAATCATGTGAAACACCTGGAGGACGCAGTGAGGTGGAGAGTAAGAGCTAGTAAGGGTGACGTGTAGTCTGGCCAAGTTAAGGAACCCGTGGTGCCTCAGGTTCCTCATTTATAAAAAGGGGCAATAGTATCGCATTCCCAAAACTGTTATCATAGGGATTTAAATGAGCTACCTAGAGAGTGAGCACAATGTCACGCACACAGCAGGCAGTGGGTATTTAATAGGTGTAAAGGCATATCCTTATCTCACACCCTCCACATTGGCAGGCGAGCAGGAGGGAGGGTAGTGTTGGGGAGGCAGAACCCAGGAGGACATGTTTTTCTCCCCCAGTACCAGGCTACCGTTTTATAGTGAAATGGCTAGCTTCTAGTTGCCAGGAGGGTACAAAAGGACAGAAGGGTAAAGGGGTGGTGCCAGTGGCCGCATAGTGATGGCCTCAGCAGCTCCAGCTCTCTCCCTCCCCTCCTTCCCTCCTTCTCTTTACCCCCACCCGCAGAGGCGCTGCTAGCGCGGCCCGAGGTGCAGGGCGTGAAACTGCTGTTCCTAGTGGGCGGCTTCGCTGAGTCGGCGGTGCTGCAGCACGCGGTGCAGGTGGCGCTGGGCGCCCACGGCCTGCGCGTGGTGGTCCCGCACGACGTGGGCCTCACCATCCTCAAGGGCGCGGTGCTCTTCGGGCAAGCGCCGGGCGTGGTGCGGGTGCGCCGCTCGCCGCTCACCTACGGCGTGGGCGTGCTCAACCGCTTTGTGGCTGGACGCCACCCTCCCGACAAGCTGCTGGTTCGCGACGGCCGCCGCTGGTGTACCGACGTCTTTGAGCGCTTCGTGGCGGCCGAGCAGTCGGTGGCCCTGGGCGAGGAGGTGCGGCGCAGCTACTGCCCGGCGCGCCCGGGCCAGCGGCGCGTGCTCATCAATCTGTACTGCTGCGCTGCCGAGGACGCGCGCTTCATCACCGACCCGGGGGTGCGCAAGTGCGGCGCGCTCAGCCTCGAGCTGGAGCCCACAGAGGGCAGCGCCAACGCTGCCGGCGCGCACCCTGGACGCCGCGAGATCCGCGCCGCCATGCAATTTGGCGACACCGAGATTAAGGTCACCGCCGTCGACGTCAGCACCAGTCGCTCAGTGCGCGCCGCCATTGACTTTCTTTCTAATTGAGGGCGGGCAGGCGCGGTGCCAGGCCCCGCCCTCTTTCGGTCTGGGGATCTGGAGAGCAGGCTCAGCTCGGCTCTGGCAGAAGAACCTGCTTGTTCTTGTGTCAGGGCCCCTTTCCCCCGCCCTCTTGTCCGGGGAGATGAGGTCGCAGGACGGGTGGGGACATCCAGAAGATTCTGGCTTTGGGATTGGGTCCTGGTCTGCTGACTGTAAGGCTGAGGGGTCTGCCAAGGACTGAGGTCAAGGAGCTAGATTTTAAGAAGGCACACCCGTAGGGAGCACGTGACCCTGAAGCAGCGTGCATCAGAGACTGAGCCCTGGCCTGAACTGGGGGTGGGAGTTGGAGGTGGGAGTGAAAGCCGCTGGGAGAGGCCAAGCAAGGCCACCAAAGAAGGGGCAGCAGGATGAAGATGGGTGTGCAGAGCCCACGCCTGAAGGGCCCAGTGCACTGACTGATGGGCTCAGCCTGTGTTGCAGAAAAACAGAAGCTGCCCGGAGAGATGGGTAGTAGGACCACCCTGGGTGTGGTCTTGACCACCCAAAGATGACTGTTAAATGTAGAAAGGGCTGAGCAGGAGAGGGCACAGGGTGAAGGCACTTAATGAGGGGATGTGGGGATGCACTTGCCCTTTCATTGAAGACAAATGACCCAGCTGGGTAGATGGATGCCCCACTTTAACCAATCCCAGCCACAGAAGGGCATCGAGGGTGGGGTGGGGAGGGAGGGCAGAGGGAGCCCTGAGGACTGGTCCCAGCACTGCCATCAACTTAGTGTGCCATGAGGACAGTCCCTGCCCACCAGACATGCAACAGCCCCACCTGCCTGAGAACCCAAAGGTGACAATAAAGCCTTTATGCTCAAGGTGAGGCCATAGCCTGCTGGTACCTCACAAGGGGGGGACCCCAATAGCGAGGTAGTGGAGGGCGCCTGGGTTTGAGTAAGAAAGCAGATAGCTGGAAGCTGTGCACAGGGCTGGGAGCTGACCAGGAGGGGGTGCTGCTGTCTCCCTGTCACGCATCCCTAACACAGAGCTCCCCCACTCCTTCAGACCTCTCTGGCCTGAGCAGGCTCCTCCCCAACCAAACTGTCCTGACAACTCTTTCCAGGCCTGAAATACCGGTGCTGGGGCCAAGTGCTGTAATACCATTAAGTGCTCTGCCTCCTAAAAGAATGAGTTTAGCAAAAACTGTTCCTTAGCCCATCTGTGAAGGACTGGGCATTCTCAGGGCCCTGGAGAACAAAAATCCCACTGGCCTCTCGTATCCATTGAAAGTTTTTATTTATTTAGCATTTTATCCCAACCAGTTGTTTAAAAACCAAGTAACACAGACCTGGGGGCAGGGGTTGGGAACTGCACCTCCCTCCTACTCACCATGGACAGCAGTGGGAAAGAGGGAGGTGACTAAAGCGAGAGGGCAGCAGCAGTAACGGGGAGACAACATCACAGAGCCAGCGCCCCTCCTCTCTCCTCTCCCCGGGCCCTGGCTGGAGCTCCTATGGCTTGGGGTGGGGGGTGGGTAGAACCCACCTCAGGCACTCCCCCTCCCCTCCTCAGACAGCCTCCTTGGGGACTCAACCCATTTCTTCCGGCAGGAGACTGAGGCACACGGAGAGGAGAAAGTGGGAGAGGGAGACACAGGAGAGGCAGGGAGGTGGCAGGTGAAGGCAGAGGTAAGAGGCATGGGCGAGGCCCCAGCTTGAGGCCCCTAGACACTCTACCCCCATGCCCAGAGAGGTGAGGAAGCCACACCATCACACAGCATTTGGGGAGATGAGGTGGGGTTTAAGGCTGAGGGGCCCCGAGGCAGGCGGGGGCACGGGCCTCAGTCGAAGCCATGCCAGTCGCTGTGCTCCGAGTCGTATTCTAGCTCAGCACCCACACACTTGACACCATCCAGCAGCATGGGTGTGCCGTGGTGTCGGTCTGCAAGGTGGACAGCATGTCAGTATGCCAGGCGGGACCCTGGCTCCACCCACTCCAAGGGGATGCTCTGACTTCCCTCCAGGCTCTGCTAGGGGATGGGGAGACAAGCACATGCCAAGGAGGCTGGGAGCCCCAGGACAGTGCAAGGACCTCTCTTTCGGATGGAAGGAGGGAAAACCATTGCAGCCAAGCTAGCACCTCCTCCCCGCAGCCAAGTCCACGCCTCTCGCTCTCACCCATGACTCGTGCCTGCACCATCACACGAACACAGATGCCAGTGCCACCTTCACAGGCCAGCAGCATCTCCTCCTTGAGGACACCCTCCTTGTGTGCTGAGTACTCACACTTGACGCTGTAACCTGCTGGGGTGATCGGCACCCCTGAGGCCTCCCACCCCCAGCACTCACAAGCCCCCACCCACCACCATGACTGGCCACCTCCTCTGAAAAAGCAAGGACAGCACAGCACCCATCCTCCCCGGCTGGCACACAGGCCTCTGAACTGCTCATTCCTCAGTGAGCCCCATGGGCCTTCAGTCTATGGGCAAACCTGTCAAGGCTCCAAGGGCCAGACTCAGGCTTCCAGAAGGAAGGCCTGCTGATTCCCAAAAAGGCAGGCAGGGGAAAGGGTGATGGGAAAAGGGCAGGCTTTGAGCAGATCAGGTGGCAACAGGCAAAGGCCTGAACGAGCTTGCTCAGTCCACTCAAGGGCAAGGTCATGAGGAGATGGGGGACATGAAACTGAAGCTGGGGCTTCAGCACATCATGAAACTGATACCCTAGCCTCTGCAGGGTGTGGGGGGCAAAGCTGACAGGGTAGAAGTGGCCCAAAACCCAGGATTGGTGGGTGCTGGGAGGTAGCTGCCCAGGGTTCCTAAGACTCAGGCAGGTTTTTCTTGAGGGGCAGGTGGGAGGGAGGGCAGAGGCCCAGAGCCAGTTCCTCAGTGACTCCACCATCCCACTGAGGTAACTATCAGGTGATGGGCAGACACAGTGTGAGCCTAGGGACTGTCCTGGGAGTAGGCCTGGGGCATGGGACCTGCCAAGCCTCCATACTGCAAGCCCATAAAGAGGCATCATGTTCCCTAGCTCCTGAGCTGCCCATCCACCCTGGATGGGGAAAGGGAGTGCTTATGCTCCCATGCGCTCACTCCCACTCACACCCAGGCCTCGCAGGAGAGGGGACACACCTTCCGGGACTGGCACGACGCTGAGGAGCTTGAGGTGCAGGCTGGGGACAGGTGCCTCCCGGACGTCTTTGCTCAGCCTGTGCACTGGGGGCAGAGTGAAGGTAATCTCGTACCTGTGCAGGATCTTCAGGAAGCCAACCTGCAGCAGGAAGGGTGGAGGAAGGAGGCACCTTCACTCACAGCCCCGCCAAGACCCGCTTGGTCATGCCATCAGTGATCCTATGGCCCCTACCCCTGCTTCCTTGGGGATCCCAGTGGGGCGTAACTCCCTCCCCCACTCCAACTGGCCCACACCCCAAGCCCGGTGGCTTCAGGCCCTTCCGCTGAGGACCTCATCCCCACAGCTCTGTCAGCATACTCTTCAGCATGTCTCACAGGCCCCTAGCTCCTGGTGACCCATTTTATAGACAAGGAAATGGAAGCCAGGAAACACCTGGCTGGAGACTACTGTCTGGTCAGGGTTAAGTTCTCCTTAGACCTCTTGGTCATTCCTGCCATGCATGACGCACAGCAAGGCATGTATCACTGCCCACAAGGGAGGCTCAAAGTTCCACAGTGCAGGCCATCCCGCAGCACCTATCCACAACCAAGAGTCCAGGGTCATGGCAACTGGTTCTCCTCCAGGCACTCGTGGAGACACTGGGCAACACAGATTGCATGGGTTAAGAGATGGGATGGAATTAGAAGGACAGTAGACAAGCTGTGTCTGTCCAGAGCTGGCCCACAGGCCTAGCACCAGTCACTGAACTTGGGCTCCTGCCTGCCCTTCTGGCACCTGAACACAATGCCTGCCTGCCCACCCAAAGGCTCACTGAGCCCAGTGGCCCCAACTCACGGCCCAAGCAATTGCTGTTGTTCATACATTGCTTGGCAACTGATGCCCTCTGGGTCAGATGCCATCCTTGGAAACTCCATTGTGTGATGGGTCACAAGCCAGAGTGTCTGCTGAGTGGGGAGGCTGACCAGAGTGCCAGTCCAGAAGGGGCAGGGCTGTGTGCTATACCCACAGCTCACATGCACACTTATTCTCCTGCCTGTTTTGGGCTGGATGGCCCTGTCCCTGGGGGCCTGTTGGGACTGGCTGCATGGAGCACTTAAGTCTTTCAATGGCTGATGTCAGTGCATGACAGTGTGGCTCCCACATTCTGCAGGGGGAGGGCCTACCTCTCAAAAGGGCTGTCTGGTTGTAACTGCCAGCAGTGACACTGTGACCCAGCTGTACCACTTGCAGAATTTTCCAGGAAAATAAGAGATGTACAAAAAAATGCTCACCACTACCCTGTTTATAATAGGTAAAAAAAAAAATTCAAACAACTGGAACACCAGCAATAGGGAACCAGCTAAATCCATGATGATACACATAATGAATACCAGGCAGTTGTAAAATCTTGTGGAAAATTATTTACTGACACAGGCGGGAGACTCTTCACAATGAAAGCAAGCAAAAAACAGTGGGTGCACTGTGAGACCAGCTTTTTGTTTTTGGAAACAAAGCTAAAAAAGAGCTGGAATGATACACTTCCAAAAATGTAACCATGGTTATTTCTGGATAGGATGATTGTAAGTGCTTTTAGATTTCTTTATAGTTTCCTCTATCTTCTAAATTTTCTCTAATAGACATGAATGGATTTTACAGTGGGAAGTGGGGGCAGAGGGAGCTAGTTGTATAAGTTTTGGTTCATTATGTTTCTTCCCTAGGGAAGCTGTCAGCTGTAAGAGAAAGAGCAAGGATTTTAGAGTTGGCAGAAATGGGTACAAATCTAGACTCTCCTCAAGGTGGTCTCAACGAACCAGATTTCTGCCTCCCTCCGGCCCCACATATTCCTGCTCAACTTTGAGCACTGGTTTCTTGCCCAACCTGAGGGCCTCATTCTTGGTTTCCCCTCAGTTCACCCTTCTACAGACTTCCTCCCGCCCCTCCAAAGTGGATGTAGGGCCCCACAATGTCCCAGCAGTTGGAGGAACCACACTGGAGGGCCTGTGAAGTGTGACCACTAAAGGGGTAGGTGCTCCACCAAGCAAAAAACACTGCTTGGGGGTGATAAGTAAATACTACAAGAGCCTAAATCAGCCAGAGGTTTGACAAAGAAAGGTAAATAAAGTTACACTTGTTATCAGCATAATTAGCCTCATACCTCTGTGACATACACACATTCTTCCATTTCATTCTGCACCAACTTTGTGGGGTAGGAATTGTCTTCATTTCAGAGAAGGGAAACCAAGGCCATGTGCCCAAGGCCAGAAGGCCAGAGGAGCAGGCCTGGACCTAAACCCAGGCCTGTGGCAACATAAGCCTTAAGACCCTTTCACTGCTGTTTTGGGCTGATGCCAATGATAATGGCTCCACTCACCTTGTTCAAGTAACATTCTCATTCTCACAGAGATCTGACCACTTCCCATTTTACGGATGTGGTAACCAAGGCACAGAAAGAGACAGAGACATGCCTATAGAGCCAGCTTTCGGGGAGATGGGAGGCATCAGCCCGGGAAGCCAGGGAGCGCTGGGGAGGAGGTAAAGAGAGTAAGGTCGGTGATGGAGGGAGGTGTGCACGTACCTTGACCAGAAAGCTGCTGTCACTCTCCTGGGTGACCATGACCACTGAGTCATGCAGCTTCTCCTCAAAGTGGACATGGCCCTGGCCCTGGAGGCCTTCTGCATCGTGGCCTGATGCAAAGCGGATACTCCGGACTCTGGGCTTGTTGCCTAGGAAGAGAGTGGGAGAGGGCTCCAGGGGCTGGAAACTGCCC